TATACTTTCTTTAACCAGTCATTCTATTATAGAACAAAAATGTACCATACAAGATTCTTTCCTATACAATTATTTATCTTTCCTTTATCCTTTCTTATGAAAACATACTTTATACCAACAACTTTTTTTACATTTTTCCTAACCTCAGAGCTCTAACCAAAGCAATAAGTTTATATGCAGTGGAAGGGCTTAGATAGGATCCAATGTGGAACTATTAGGGAAATCCAAAGCTACACAAAAGGCACCCAAAAATCACAGTGGTGATAGTTCAGGGTAAAGAATAGTACGAGCTTTAATTTTGTCATAATGTCCAATAATGGAGCTGGACACATTGGCATAATAAGGAAAGAGTGTTGAAATATTTTATTTCCCAGAACACATGGAGTAATGGTGTAGTGAGGGGCCTGGATATAATGCCCTGTACCCCCACAACCAAAAGGGGTGAAGGAAGGAGTGGACCAGGAAATTTAAGTGGAGCTGAGCATGTAGCCCCCATATTAATAACAAATGACATAACCCTGCCAGCTACTGATATTTCCACCCTAGGCTTGGTTGGTTTAATAGTTTGTTCCGAAGATGTTGGGGCTATCGAGCCAGGGGCGAGTCAATCCAACTGGAGCAAGCCCAAGAGATCTCCTTCTGAGATTTGTGTGAGATGCCTGGTGTCCCTCATTTGCAGTAAGCCTCTGGGCCATGTGCTCTCCTCCAGCTAGGTGAACGAGGCAATCATGGGCCCAATGTCCATGCAGTTTGCATTTGAGACAGGGTTTTGTCAGTGGCGGGGCTTGACAGTCTTTGACCATATGCCCATTTTGACGGCATCGGAAACAAACCTGGGAAGGGGCTGTGTACCCCTTCTGCTATCGATCTTCTGGGGTGGAAGATTATCAGTGGTGGCTCTCCCTGCTAAAGCGATAGATAAAAGCTAAAACGTTTCCTGCTTATGTTTGTGGTTCATTCTTTCTTCCCCCTGGTTGTTAAAGACTTTAAAGGCCGTGTCCAATAGTTCTAGTTGAGGGGTTTGTGGGCCCTTCTCTAATTTTTTGGAGTTTGTG